GAGGTGGAGCCTGGTGCAGAAGGTTTCTCCTATGACTCAGCCTCAGCTCAACCCGCTGCATGACAACACAAGCCCACAGATGAAGGAGGCCGTGGTGCAGATGGTAGAGGAGAAGCAGGAGGAATGGGATGACTTTTTGGACGCTTTGCTGTTTTTGTTCCGTACGTCCACCAACCCCACGACCAAGTTCACCCCTTACATGCTCATGTTTAACAGAAAGGCCAGTTTACAGAACGAGGTATGCCTAAATGACAGATAACAGCTTTTAATTGTTTTTCTGCTCATTAAATGTGTTTTTTCTTGTAGACTACACTAAACATCCTGGACTTCGGTGAGCCAGAGCAGGACACGTTTCCCACAAAGCAGAAGGCTTCTGAACACATGGCCATTATGCAAGAGCAACAACACGCTGTGAAGCAGCTGGTAATTAGTTTGGTTTCTGAGCTTCCATGCAGAAAACGTGCATGTGCCCCAATCAGACCTGCCCCAATCAGACCTGAGCCAATCAGAATCTTGGTTTTGATGGTGAAAATCATAAAACATAGGAATTGGCTTCAGGAGGTGGCATCATTCAAACGAAACCCTCGATCTGCAGAAGATGGCAAAATTCCTGCATTAGAACATTTGATGGGGGGGTCGCAGGTGAAAATGCTGGCCTGCTTTTAATGGGCGTGTCAAACTAGAGGAATCTAAAGAAGGAAGAAGAATAAAATAATTAAAAGTGGATTTAAGATTAAAAAGTTATGTGAAAAATAAAATGTGGCACAAAAATTTAGACATCCAGTGTCTGAAATCTGAGAAGAAAAAAAAGAAACAAGTGTTTTTAAACGGAACTATTTATTGTCTGTCAGGGCTGCCCCCGGCCAAATTCGTGTGTGTGTGTGTGTGTGTGTGTGTGTGTGTGTGTGTGTGTGTGTGTGTGTGTGTGTGTGTGTGTGTGTGTGTGTGTGTGTGTGTGTGTGTGTGTGTGTGTGTGTGTGTGTGTGTGTAGGCCCAAGTTCACTGACAAACCGTTTACTTGTACATTTTGAAACATGAGTCAGGTCCTCCTAAAGCCCAACTCTCACCAGCCTTGCGTGAACAGCTCCCCGCCCTCTACTGGGTGTAGACCAACCTCCCAGCAGTAAAAGAGCTCTCTCTCTCACTCACCTTTCTTTGCTCAGTCTTTCTTTTCCTCACGATGGAGCCCCGATACACAAATCTTTGTATCGCTTCCCAAAAGGCCGAACTCCCAGCCCTTTCTCCTCTCCAGTCCTCACAACTCTACCACCAAAACAATCCCATCACGCTCCAGCCTGACTCCATCGGCGGCTAGCGTGCCACACCTTCTCCGACACCACTCTTCGTCTTTGCACGGCCCGACTCCCCTCAGGTCACACCTGCGTTCTTTCATGTGTGGGTCGCCAGCAACTCTTCCGATCCCCGCTACGCTCGACGAGCAACACCCACACTTCGAGTTTAACATGCTGGCTAAACGTGAAAACAGTCTTCTACACGGATCTCCTGTGTTGACCTTTGATAGGGTTGAGGCAGTGTTTACCTGTACATACTGCAAATCTAGTTAACCTTTAAATTATTTCTTTTGAACTAATTTAAGCTCTTACCTAAATAATATCTGTTACAAATGACGAATGTTGTTTTGCATCTCTGGGAAAATGACAAAGCATGGCTCTATTTACGTTACATAGTAAATGTTTTGTCAAATCTACTTAAATTTTGTTGTTTTTCTGTTTGTGTGCTTGTGCTGCTTAAGGTGATCGCTAATATGAACACAACCTACAAACAAGAGAAGAAGAAGAATGCCAAACGCAGGATGCAAACCAAGTCTCCGGATACTTTTAAAACTGCAGAACCGCTTTTCTTCTCAGGAGACTCGCCTTCACCCAAAAAAGCCAAAGACAGCTTGTTTATGTCATTTCCTGTGGAGACGGTGTTGTCTACGGAGCAGAGCAGTCCGGAGAACATAAAAACTGAGCTGACGTATCGCTTGGCCGACTCTGACATTAACTGAAAACTACTATAGACGGCTGAGAGGAAACATCTGAGGAGCATCTCACCAGGAGTGGACTGGTGGAAATTGGCACCCAGATGTGGAGCAGATAAATTTTCACAGGAGCTGTGGAGGACTTTCAGAGACATCTCAGTCTCGTCGCAAACACAACAGTAAACATGTCTGAATGGGTTGGACCATCACAGAATACCTAAATTATTCTATATACTTTTACAACAAATAAATTATGTTCCCTTTTGTTAAAGTGTTCAAATAAAGGTAATAAATGATAAATTGTGCAATTTTTGATCCCGATTAAATGTGTTTCAAAAATAACTTCCTAATGTTAAAAACACAGACTAGAGCCCTGATAAGGCAACAAAGCAGTAAACCTCATCGATCTCCAGTCTATTTTTATTTGGGTTATTTGTCATCCTGTAACAGAAATACCAGATCCAGAATTCAGTAATTACTGAAGCTTTGCCTTTGATAGAAATATGTGAGATAAACACAAGTTGGTCAGAGAAAGTTGTCTTGTTTTATTCTATAATTGACCTTCATAGAACCATGACTATTTTAGACCCTAAAACTAAAGCTGAAATAGGTTCTTTTAACATTTAAAGACATTTATTACAAGAACCTTGTATTCTACTTGGAGCTAGCTCTGGTTAAACGTCCGTTCAAGCACTTCCACCTGTCGCTGCTAAGTCACAGGCAGCTCTTGAACGCAACTCGCCGGTGGGCGGGGTTACACCGTGGTCACTTCCGTGAGAGATGTTAAATCATAGTAAACATATGATATCTATGTTGTACACATACAGGTGTGACACTCCTATGACAGGCAGAGCTTAATGCCCAGGAAGACTCAGGGCATTCCGGTTTGAGCTTTAAAATCTCTTCATGCACTTCTACGATTACAAATCTAACTGAAGTTTGCATCTATTCACCAGACAAAAAACCAAGAAGTGTGTCCGGGTACTAGTCAGGTCTGTGGTGAGTCCTCTGTAACACACACGATCTTTGACGCCGGCTTTTCTGCCTGTAGTTCTCAGGCTCGCGCTACTGTACGGACTCTGGGCTTCTGTCGTGGATGTGGGCGCACTGAACGGATCTTTTATAGGAAACAGAGACGAACAGCGTGGTTAATATTACTGTGAGCCGTTAGGAATCCAACTAACATGGAGTTATTTATTACCTGACGTTGCTAAGTTAGCTGTCGAAACAGCCTGCCACCTGCTGGTACTGTAATGTGGGTTATCTGAACCGGTGTCGTTACCTCACATGATGATGATTAGTTGACACGTTTTGTTTCTGTACCTTTTAGCTAGCTAGCTGGCTGCAGACGACCGGTGGGCCTTCAAAATAAAGTTTTAAGATGTAAAATATGGATAGTTCTTTATTTTTCTGCTCATTGAATACGTTTACCTCGTGTTAGGGTATTTGTAAACGTATGATCAGTCTGATCAGGCTTTGCGGATTTTAGTCTAACCACCAAGGAGTTTATTTTGAAAGCGTTTCTGGGACAGTGAAGGAGCAGCATCTCTGAGCTTTGACCCTTCTGGTTACTAGAATGGGCACAGAAGTGGCTGTGAGCTGCACCATGTTGTTCATTGTGCTGGACGTCCTCCTCACTACTGTCCTGTACATCCACGGGTCTCATCTGAGGAGATTTACTCAAGAGGCTCTGGATTTTAACATCTTGGGGTCTGCCTTGGACCTCTGGGGCACCGTGCTGCTCAGAGCGTCCTTCCTGTTGGGAGCCTCCATAGGGGTGTCATGGAACAAGCAGGAGGGCCCTTCAAGGGTGGCCAAGTTCACCATCCTTGTTCTCCTTACCTTCATGCTAGTTATTACCTACAGCCTGGCCAAGCTCCTGATGCTGAGCGAGCAGGAGTCTCTCAACCACCAGCCATGGTCCCTCAGCCTGATATGCTGGACCTGTGCCTCCTCTCTGGGTGTCATTCTGTTCTGGAAGCAACTTGGGAGAGCATCAAACTCTGTGAGCAGTCTCAGCAGCAGACAGGGCTTTGAGGACACTGAGAAGCTGGTGGAGACAGCTGGTGAAGAGGAGAAGGAAGAAGAGAAGACCAGCTCTCGAGCTACACTTGGGCGCCTGCTCTCCTACTCTAGGAAGGATTCTGGGCTACTTTCTGTAGCTGTCCTCTTCCTCATCATCTCTGCTTTGTGTAAGTGTCCTTCAAGCAGCAACAACCTACTTTTTAATGTGTTACAAAGAATAACAAGGCTAACATTCAGCTTGATTTGCTGTTATCAGCGACTTTCATCTATAAAGTATTTCTAAAAGGTTAGGATAGTTAAGACTATTGTCTTCAACACCTTGAACAGTGTGTGTGTGTGCGTGTGTGTGTGCGGGTGTGTGTGTGTGGGAATGAAATTTCAGCTTCAAATGACAAAAGCAGCATTGTAATTGAACCCTGCCTGGGAGCATCCAAAGCGTGGTCCGCAGGCCTTTTGTGGCCCCAGGAGGGATTTATATGGGCCTGCAATTTTATATTGACAGCACAGGAAGTTGATGCAGATGTACTGAATTTTTTTTACCTAAAAAAGCAAACTGGCAATATAGTAAGAACAAGATCTTAAGAATCAAAAGGTATTGTTATACAAAATAACAAGTAGATTAGCAAAAGCAACCAAAACAAAAATAAACAATACCTGGTGTGAATATAAAAGGTATTATGGACAGAGAGAACACGGCGGAGTGGGTCACTGGCGATGGCGGCTAACCCCTACTTTCCATCAGACGCAAACAGCTGCAAAACGTACTTCACGGCAATTAGCCACCATTATAGTGGGTGGGTTCCTTTCCACCTGCTGCAAAGTGTAACTTTTTGAAAGCGTCCTGGAAGCATAAAGTTGTATTGCTTATGTTTTGAGTCTTTTATAAGCGCTAAGCTCACAAAACACGTCAAACTCTGCATTTCAGATCAGGCCAGACAGGAAGTCAAACACAAAAGCAGTGTAAACTGGAAGATGACTCAGTTATTGTTCTTTGTCCGTGGCCTTGGCGTTCCTGTTTTGTGTCGGGTAGAACAGCGCCCAATACAGTAGCTGGTTTTACTTTAGTTCAGCCTTTGCTTTTCCAGCGTGTCAGCTCACTTGGTCACGCCGTGTGACCATGCTCACCTTGATCAGTGGTTTCCTGGCCTCCGTGGCACATGATTCATGCCGGGCGTCACAGCTTGCATCTGTTCGTGTCTAGCTCCCAGTTCCATGCCAGACGACTCGGATCTCCCATGCTCCCAAACTCTGTCCAGTCCAGTCAATCAGCTCTTCAAACCAGTGAGTCAACTTTCCACTCCAGTCAGCCGCCTATCCAGTCGGTTGGTCAGCAGTCCAGTCCAGCCAGTCAGCCCCTCCAGTCCAGCCAGTCAGTTTTCCAGCCCAGTTGGTCAGCTGCCACTCCAAGTCGGGTCCGGTCACAACTTGACATCAATAATGGAGAGGAGGGAACAAAGGAGTGGACGGTAGAGGGGAGGACGCGTGCAGGGAGGGTGTTAGTTTAGAAGATGCTCTCTGAAGAGGAGGGTCTTCAGGAGTTTCTTGAAAATTGAAAAGGAAGCCCCTGTTCTGGTAGTGCTTGGTAGGTCATTCCACATTTGTGGAACGATGCATGAGAAGAGTCTGGATTGTCCTGAGCGTGGTGTAGGCACTGCTAGCCGACGATCCTGTGATGACTGGAGCGGCCGGGCCGAGACGTAAGCCTTTGCAAGACGATTCAGGTAGATGGGAGCCGTACCGTCTCGGACTTTGTATGCTAGTGTTAGCAATTTGAATTTGATGCGTGCTGCTAGCAGTAGCCAGTGGAGCTCAATTAACAGAGGGGTGACGTGTGCTCTTTTTGGCTAATTGAAGACCAGACGCACCGCTACGTTCTGGACCATTTGAAGAGGTCTCACAGTACAGCCTGGAAGACCAGTTAGAAGGGCATTGCAGTAATTTAGGCGGGAGATGACAGTATATTGCACCAGGAGCTGGGTGGCATGTTGTGTTAGGTGTGGTCTGATCTTTCGTATGTTATACAGCGCAAAGCGGCATGAACGAGCAACAGAGGCAACATGATCTTTAAAGGTCAGGTGTTCATCAATCACAACACCCAGATTTTGAACTGCCTTTCAAGGGCCCAGAGATAGGAAGTCATTTTGGATTGAGATATTGTGCTGAATGAATGGTTTTGCTGGGATGACAAGTAATTCAGTTTTAGAGAGGTTGAATTGGAGATGGTGGGATTTCATCCATTTTGATATGTCAGAGAGACAGTTTGATATTCGTGCAGAGACGGTGTGATCGTCCGGTGGAAATGACAGAGCTGGGTGTCATCTGCATAGCAGTGGTAGGAGAAGCCATGTGATCGAGTGATCTCACCAAGTAAGGTGGTGTATATGGCAAAGAGAAGAGGTTCTAGTACAGAGTCCTGGGGGACTCCTGTGGCAAGATGGTGCACGGTAGAGGATTGTCCAAGCTAAGATACACCGAATGATCGTCCTGGGAGGTATGATTCAAACCAGGCATGTGCTTTCTCTGTGATGCCCATGCTACAGAGTGTGGACAAAAGGAAGCCATGGTTGACAGTGTCAAATGTACCATCCTAGAAAAACCTCGTCCAATCAATGTGCACGTCCTGTTTTCACTGATTGGATAGAAATCCCTCCTTCAAGCTGCACGTGTTTGAGTGTGTGTGTGTGTGCACGCACACACGAGTGAATTGTGAACTGGCATTGTGATTTGATGTAGCCATCCTTACGCTGACAAAAATGTAACAAGTAACTTTTACTTTGAGTACATTTTGTTTACTTTACATTTTACTTTTACTTGAGTAAAAATTTAGGCAAGTACTTTTACTTGTATTTGAGTAAAAAATGATCAAAGTATTGGTACTCGTACTTAAGTAGGAAATTTTAGTACTCTTTCCACCTCTGCCTTGGAGTAGACCTTTCCAGGGAGGCCGAGGAGTGTGATCCCCCTATAGTTGGAACACACCCTCAGGTCACCCTTCTTAAGGATGGGGACCACCACCCCGGTCTGCCACTCCACAGGAACTGCCCCTGATGACCACGCAATAGTAAATAGTAAATGGCCTGTATTTGATTTAGCGCCTTCTAGAGGCATGGAACCCCTCAAGGTGCTTTACAACACAATCAGTCATTCACCCATTCACACACGCATTTACACACTGGTGGGGATGAGCTACGATGTAGCCACAGCTGCCCTGGGGTGCACTGACAGAGGCGAGGCTGCCGAGCACTGGCGCCACCGGTCCCTCCGACCACCACCAGCAGGCAAAGTGGGTTAAGTGTCTTGCCCAAGGACACAACGACAGCGACAGACTGAGCGGGGCTCAAACCTGCAACCTTGCGATTATGGGGCGAGCACTTAACTCCTGTGCCACCGTCGCCCCCCGTCGCAATGTTGCAGAGACGTGTCAACCACGACAGTCCTACAACATCCATAGCCTTGAGATACCCAGGATGAATTTCATCCGCCCCCGGTGCTCCACCGCTGTGTAGTGGACTACCTCAGCAACTTCTGCCCCCGAGATTGGACAGTCCATCCCCACGTCTCCCGGCTCTGGTTCCTCCTCAGAATGCGCATAGGTGGGATTGAGGAGCTCCTCAAAGTATTCCTTCCACCGTCCGACTATAGCCCCAGTTGACGTCAGCAGCTCCCCATCCCCACTGTAAACAGTGTGAGCGAGTTGCTGCCTCCCTCTCCTGAGGCGCCGGACAGTTTGCCAGAACCTCTTTGGAGCCGATCGATAGTCTTTCTCCATGGCTTCACCAAACTTGTCCCACGCCCGAGATTTTGCCTCAGCAACTGCCACTGCTGCACCCCGCTTGGCTTTCTGGTACCTGTCTGCTGCCTCCGGAGACCCACAGACCAGCCACGCCCTGTAGGCCTCCTTCTTCAGCCTAATGGCTCCCCGAACCTCTGGGGTTGCCACCATGACTGGCACCGGCCACCTTGCGACCACAGCTAGCAACAGCCACCTCAACAATCGCAGAGTGGAACAAGGCCCACTCGGAGTAAATGTCCCCAACTGCTCTCGGAACGCAGTCAAAGCTCTTCCGGAGGTGGGAGTTGAAGACCGTCTTGACAGGTTCTTCTGCCAGGTGTTCCCAGCAGACCCTCACTATGCGTTTAGGTCTGCCAGGTCCACGCGGCATCTTCCCCTGCCATCTGATCCAACTCACCAACAGGTGGTGATCAGTTGACTGCTCCGCTCCTCTCTTCACTCGGGTGTCCAAAACATACGGCTGCAGGTCAGATGATACGACTACAAAGTCGACCTGCGACCTAGGCTGCCCTGGTACCAAGTGTACCGATGGGCATCCTTATGTTCGAACATAGTGTTCGTTATGGCCAAACTGCGGCTTGCACAGAAGTCCAATAACAAAACACCACTTGAGTTCAGATCAGGCGGGCCATTCCTCCCAATCACACCCCTCCAGGTCTTGTTGTCTTTGCCCAGGTGAGCATTGAAGTCCCCCAGCAGGACAATGGAGTCCCCTGATGGAGCACTATCTAGCACTCGTCCCAGGGACTCCAAAAACGGTGGGTACTCTGAACTGATATTTTGCCCATAAGCACAAACAACAGTCAGGACCCGTTCCCCGACCCAAAGGCGCAGGGAAGCTACCCTCTCGTCCCCCGGGGTAAACCCCAACACACAGGCAGAGAGTCTTGGGGCTAACAAAAGCCAACCCCAGCCCTCCGCCTCTCACCCGGAGCAACTCCAGCAAAGGAGAGTGTCCAACCCCTCTCAAGGACTTGGGTTCCAGAGCCAATGCTATGTGTCGAGGTGAGTCCGACTATATCTAGCCGGTACCACTCAACCTCTGCCACAAGCTCCTGCTCCTTCCCTGCCAGCGAGGTGACATTCCATGTCCCAAAAACCATTTTCCTTGTCTGGGGATCGGACAGCCAAGGCTCCCGCCTCGGTCTGCCACCCGATCCACACTGCACCAGACCCTTCATGTTCCTCCTGCGGGTGGTGGGTCCACAGTTGGACAAGCCCATGTATCTGGTTCGGGCAGGGCCTGGCCGGGCCCCATGGGCGAAAGCCCGGCCACCAGGTGCTCGCTCACGGGCCCCAACCCCAGGCCTGGCTCCAGGGTGGGACGCCGGTAACCCTCCGGGCCGGGTACTCCGACTCCTTGATAATTCATCCATGAAAGATCCTCTGAACCGTTCTTTGTCTCACCCTTCACCTAAGACCAATTTGTCATGGGAGACCCTACCAGGGGCACACAGTGCCCCAGACAACATAGCTCCTAGGATCATTAGGGCTCTCAAACTCCTCCACCACAATATGGTGACGGTTCAAGGAGGAGCAATTTATTTATTAATGTTTAAAAAAATGTTTTAAAAGCCAACTCGGCATTATGTTTTAAAACCTCATTGTATGACACTTTGGCCAACAAAGAGTTTACATTTTTATTAGTAAATTCACACAATTTCATATTAAATTCTGATTTTCTTTGTAAGGTTTTGTTTAAAAAAATGGGAGTATTGGAAGGTGATTAGAAATATCAGTAAATAATACTCCAGAATTTATTGGATTGATAGAATAATATGTCAATATATTATCAAATAAAGTTGCAGGTGAATTTGCAATCCTTGTTGGTTTGCAAATAAGTGGATTAAAAATAATAATTATTGAATTTTGAAAATCAATTGAAGAATCGGATTCTTGTTTTAAAAGGTCCCCAAGAAGGATACAGACCTTGTTCTTCACACTTATCAACTCCAAAGTAGATAAAAATGTCAGGTGGGCGATACAGACGCCCAACAATAAAGTTTGCCTTCTAAAACAACTACAAAGAATTGGGAATTTCTAAACATTGATTCTTCAGTTTCAATCAAATTTAACCTGATCTGCTTTGGTCCCTACCCCTTCTGCCAACTACATGATTGACTGGACGTAGACCTTGAAAGATTTGGTTGGTCTGAATAAATTATGGAAGTGGGGTTGGCATTTAAAAGTATGATTCACTGAAAAAAAAAAAGTTTAATGATTTTTTTTTCTGATTATAATCAGTCACTCTGAGATTTTCATGCAGGCTGAACATGAAAATAGTCTTCTACCTACCTCTTGCTTTAGCTTCTGATAGAAAATAGACAGTGAAACAGATCTAAGTCACACTGTAAATTAACATTTATGGACTCATCCATCTTGACTCATGACGCTGTTGTTGGTTTAGCATCCAGGAAACATCAGAGAATGTCTCAGCTAGTTAGTAGATGCTAACTGTTAGCATTAGCAATTCCACCACACAGAAGAACTCATCGAGGCTTGTGTTATTTGTGGACATAAAACATCCATGTCGCAGAGCAAACAGAGTTAGTGGTAGAGTAGCGTTACTGTTATCCAATACGAGGCAAGATATGAATATCAGGAAATAAGACTCCAAATCCTGCCGTGTTAAGCTCTCCTCTGACATGGCAGACTGACGTTTCAGGGATTTTTTGCCTCGAGTACGACTTGCAAGGCATTAATTCCTACCAGAGACCACTGCAAACGTGTTGATTAAACAAGTTTCCCACACTTTTAATGTGCTCGCATCGTCAGATCTGACATCTGCTGAGGTTGTAGTTTTTATGTAGTGTATTGTAGGAAAGAATGGTCAACTTTTTCAAAGAAATACATCATTATCTTTTGTAACAGAGATTTGCTCCAATACATAAGCCCAGACTCCATACTATAAATAAAAACACCTATTTACTCAAATTAATTTACTATGTAGATTAAAATAGGTTTTGTTCAGGTTTTTTTTTACCCACCTGGCACAAAGAAACTAAATGTGTCTAGAAGAGCCTAGGCTACAGTTAACTGGATCAAACCTCTTACAAAGTTCTGTTTTCATTTATCTGCTTATTTAAATAAATGTATAATTAAAATTAAACGGATATGAGGTTTTGTGCTGATATGTGTTATTCTTCTTTCTGTAGGTGAAGCCTTCATTCCATACTATTATGGGGTAGCCATAGACAGCATTGTGGTTCACCAGAGTATGGAGTACTTTGCTAAGCCTGTGGTCACAGTGGCTGTTCTGGCATTAGTCAGGTGAGTCTACAGCAGGGAATCTGTAAAATGCAGGGGTGAAGAATAAACTAGTGCTGGACAATAAATCAAAAACTTATTGTTATCGAAATTTCTGACTCTTATCGTGGTATTTTTTTCCCATGTCAATAAAATTGATAATAAAAAAAATGAAAAGATGTGTGTGGATTGATAACATTCATGTCCCTTCAAGAAGCTGTGTCACTTTGAGCCACATAAAAATGACTCAACGTGATACATGTGACAGCCCCATCTAGTGGATAACTTTTGTTTTTGCATACCTGCAGTTATCGTCCATTTATCGTTATCGAAGTGAAATCCTCAATGTATCATGATATTTATTTTAGGCCATACTGCCCAACTCTAGAATAAACCCTACAAAAGTTCATGCAAAAATATTCAGCTGCAGCATCAGCAGGGGTCATCTTCACCAGTCAGTCCAGCTTTGGCACACAAGAAGTTATCACGCTTTACAAGATTAAAACACACACACACACGCACGCATGCACACACACAGATAAGAAGACACTATAGAGTGAATAAAAAGTAAAGATATAATAAAACAGAATGAAAGAAGACACAATAAGACACAGGAGACTCGTCTCTTCAGCTCCACTCACCTCTCAAGAACGAGGGACCTTCGAGAGTGGTAGCTACTTAGAGAAGATCCATGGTGTGAGTGAAGACTAACAGACCTGGACAGGTCCTAAAAACCCTCAAGAGGAAGGGGAAGAGGGTGATTTATGAGTGAGTGAGTGAGTGAGTCATTACTTGGATGACACGTGAAAATTAAACAACATTAAAGTAACAAAACAAAAGCAGACAGCTGGCTGTACTTTACCACCCTACCCTGGACTAAGCCTACTGCCAATTTTCAACAACCAAGTTGTTTCCAGCTTATTATTTGTTTTTTGTTTAAAATTGTCACATTTGTTCCAGATTGTAATTTGTCTGTGTGAGAAATGCATCTCCAGATTTGTGTTTGTTGTTGCTAATCCTGCGCCAGGTGCCAGCAGCATTCCTTTCATAAACCTAAATTCGTTTTCTTCCTTCTCAGTTCATTTGCCATGGGAGTGCGAGGAGGAGTCTTCACCCTGACAATGGCCAGATTAAACCTGCGGCTCAGAAACCATCTCTTTAGAACTTTAATGAGTCAGGAAATAGCTTTTTTTGATGAAAATCATACTGGTAATGTGGAAGCGTCTCGTAGTACTTCTGTCTGTTCCTCCTGCTGTGTGGAAGTTCGCTAAAGCTATTGCGTATGCACTTCGCCTCACAGGAGACATCCTTTCACGCCTGTCAGCCGACACCACCCAGGTGAGCGACCTCATCTCCCAGAATGTCAACATCTTTCTGCGGAGTGCCATCAAGGGTGTCGGGTTCTTCATCTTCATGTTTAAGATGTCCTGGAAACTCACTTTGGTCACTGTCATGGGATTTCCTTTCATTGCCCTCGTCTCAAAAGTTTATGGGGAATATTACAAGGTAAAGTTGTTCTGCCTCACTTTGATTTTAAAGGTTCCCACACTGACGCTCAGATTTTCAGCAGATAGGTCGGGTATAACATTAAACCTGTTAGAAATTCCAATGATTCTATCACAGCAGCATCGTGAGATTCAGGTTAAAGCTCCAATTTGTAGAAGTCACAATAAAAAGGTTCTGAAAAATAAATAAATGGTGTCTTTATGTTTATGTTGTTTCCAGAAACTGACCAAAGAGGTGCAGACAACTCTTGCAGAAGCTAATAAGGTTGCAGAAGAAACTATCTCGGCTATGAGGACAGTGCGTAGCTTCGCCAATGAGGGTGGAGAGGCCGACTCCTACTATGCAAAGCTCTTTGTCATGTTTCAGCTGAACAAAAAACAAGCCCTGGCCTACGCCTGCTACATGTGGTCCAGTTCTGTAGGTTCTTACTGCTGCTTCAGTGGACCAATGTCTGTTTGTTGGAGAGTGAGCTTCAGTCGAGTTTATTTTGTTTTCCAGACTTCCGAACTTGCTCTTGAGGTTGCTGTCCTTTACTATGGAGGCCACCTTGTCCTCACTGGTCAGATGAGCAGTGGAGGCTTGATTTCTTTCTTCATTTACATGCTGGAGCTGGGAGAATGTTTTGCGGTATTTGATCCATTTAGCCTCTTTGTGCGTTTGAACAGAGCTTCAATGGCACCGCTTTGACTCCAAGCTCTGCTTGTTTTTCAGAGCATTGCATCAGTATACACGGGTCTCATGCAGGGAGTAGGAGCTGCTGAGAAGGTGTTCGAGTATCTGGACAGGAAACCCAAACATCCAGCTGAGGGCGCAGATGCTCCAGACATATGCACTGGTCTGGTTGAATTTAAAGACATTACCTTTGCCTACCCAACACGCTCTGAGACTGATATCCTCAAGGTCTGTTCATGCATGTTTTGAATGCAGAGGTCTTTGTTTTTGAGTAAAGCAAGAACTTTGTTTTGTGCCGCATTCTGTGCAAGTAATCAGTTCTAAAGCTAAGAACTCTGGTTATAAAACTATTGATTTTAAGAAAATTCCCTACTGAGTTTGTTCCTTGTGCAGGGAGTGTCCTTTACTCTACGACCTGGGGAGGTGACTGCTCTGGTGGGGCCTTCAGGCAGTGGAAAGAGCTCCTGTGTGAGTCTGCTGGAAAATTTCTATGTCCCACAGCAAGGCCACGTGCTGCTGGATGGAAAACCCGTCAACACATTTCAACACAGCTATCTTCACTCCAAGGTGACATTTGGTTTAGATGAATCATAATAATAAAGTGGTGGTGATTCCCCAATTTAAAAAGGGGGGCCGCAGGATGTGTTCCAACTACAGGGGGATCACACTTCTGAGCCTCCCTGGTGAGGTCTATTCAGGGGCTCTGGAGAGGAGGGTCCGCTGGATCGTCAAACCTCAGATTCGGGAGGAACAATGTGGTTTTCATCCTGGCCTTGGAACACTGAACCAGCTCTAGACCCTTGGGGGGGGAGGTCCTGGAGGGTGCGTGTGAGTTCACCCAACCAATCTAGCTTGTTTCTGGTGAGAGTTGGACTCCGCCAAGGCTGCCCTTTATCACTGATTCTGTTCATAACTTTTATGGACAGAATTTCTAGGCACGAGGTGCTGAGGGGATCCTTTTTGCTGGCCTAGTGAGTCTTTTTGCAGATGATGTGGTCCTGTTGGCTTCATCAGAATGAGATCTCCGGCTTTCACTGGAGCGGTTCGCAGCCGAGTGTGAAGCAGCTAGAATGCAAATCAACTCCTTTTAAATCCAAGACCACGGTCTTGAGTCGTAAAAGGGCAGAATGCCTTCTCTGGGTCAGGGATGAGGTCCTGCCTCAAGTGGAGGAGTTTAAGTATCTCGAGGTCTTGTTCTCGAGTGAGGGAAATGGAGCACAACATCAATCGCATCTGCAGTAGGGCCGTGCGACAAAAGATCGTTAAGGATTATAAAGGATTTTTGTTTTTTAGGATTCTGAAATCTTTTAACCTATTTTCTGTGGAGGGGTATGATTTTAAATGTATGTATTTTACTGGTAAATAACCTCCAAAACGTCTGAATTGTCAAAAAAGAAAAAATTGTGATAAGATCTTGATTTTACAAAAACAAAATTGTGATATAGTTTTTTTGCTATATTGCCCACCCCTAATCTGCAGTGATGCGGCCGATCTGTTGTGGTGAAGAGAGAGCTGAGCCAGAAGGCAAAGCTCTCGATTTACCGGTTGATTTATGTTCCTACCCTCACCTATGGTCACAAACTTTGGGTAGTCACCGAAAGAACGAGATTGTGGATACAAGCGGCCAAAATGAGTTTTCTTTGCAGGGTGGCTGGGCTCTTCCTTAGAGATAGGGTGAGAAGCTCGGTCATCCGGGAGGGGCTTGGGAGTAGACCCGCTGCTCCTCCACATCGAGAGGAGCCAGTTGAGGTGGCTCGGGCATCTGGTTAGGGTGCCTCCCTCGTGAGGTTTTCCAGGCACGTCCAACCAGGAGAAGACCGAAAGGAAGACCCAGGACACGCTGGAGGGACTGTGTCTCTCGGCTGGCCAAGGAATGCCTTAGGATTCCTCCGGAGGAGCTGGCCCAGGTAGCTAGGGAGAGGGAAGTCTGGCCCTCCCTGCTTAGGCTGCTGCTCCTGCGACCTGACCCTGAATAAGCGGCCCAATATGGATGGATGGATTATAAAGTTAAAAAAAAGTCCACTCAGCTTTCATGCGTAGTACATTAAACAGAGGAGAAACTACAGGTAACTCAAGCAGTCCATCGCAGACCCCACAGGCTATAGCTAGCACCTTCACTGTTGACTGTCAGACACTTAAATGCCAGTCTTTTTATAAAAACTACCAGCATGGTTTGGGTTAGAAAAGTAGCATCTTAAAAATGTAAACACCTATAAAATTGTTTGGATAGATGAGACCAAGTCGGAGCTGTTTACCCATAATGCACAGCAACAAACCTAAACCAAACTGCATGTTAGCACGAGCCTGAAATCGGCTTTCAGCACGGTGGTGGAGAGGTGATGGTTTGAGCATGTTTTGCAGCCACAGGACCTGGTGACCTTACAGTCTCTAAGTTCAGCAGGAACTCTTCTGACTACCAGTCTTCTAGAGTCAAATGGGAATCTGTCTGGCAATGATTATTGGCTCAAACTAGGTGCTGTGATGGGACAAAAATACCATAAATGGCAGCTAATTATCTGCAAAGGAAACAAATGATTATCCTTCAGTGACGAGAGAAATTACAGTCTGACGATAAAGACCTAATGCACTTGCTTTTTCATCTACTGTGGTCTCTTAGCCTAGAAATCTAGACAGACTCTAGTCAAAGCAAAGTTATTTTGCTCTGCATGTCTGTCTAGCCACACTCCATAGGAGCCTCAGCAGCCCCAATAGTCTTGTGCCTTGCCAATCACAGCACTCTGTGGGTTTGGTGGGCCAATCACACCACTCTATGGGTTTGGTCGGCCAATCACACCACTCTATGGGTTTGGTCGGCCAATCACACCACTCTATGGGTTTGGTCGGCCAATCACACCACTCTATGGGTTTGGTCGGCCAATCACACCACTCTATGGGTTTGGTCGGCCAATCACAGCACTTTATGGGTTTGGTGGGCCAATCACACCACTTTATGGGTTTGGTGGGTGGGATAATGTGATGAAACAGAACAACTAAGATGGTGTCAGCTTGTTTGAAACAGCTTTGGCGTCAACATTGGACTATTTACACTTGGGCTTTTCTTTGAGTCAAGAGCAGATGGAGGTACTTAAGTCTTTTATTTAGAAAAAGGATGAAGTTGTGTCTTTTTCGACAGTGTATGGAGGACTGTCCCATTGACTGACATCTGTAGTGGTGAGTACATCACATTGTTGTCCAACAGCATGTGAGGACAGTTTGAAAGAAAACCGTAGATCCCACCCCTCTGCCTATGGTTTGTGGCCAGACTATATATTCATATATATCATATATAATCAATTTTTCTCTGGGATTAATAAAGTATTTTTGAATTGAATTGAATATAATGGCTTACCAAGCTTGTGGTTTCTAGTACAAATGAATACCTTGTGAGTTAACCTCTGTGGGAAAAAAGCTCCTGTGCTCCTGTTTCAGGGATTAGCTGTTAGCCAAATCAGAGGTGAGCAGAAGATAGCAGGTTTGGGAGTCTTATTTCCTGATATTCTGGTGAAATATTTCAAGTAAAAAAACAGTTTATCAGTGACCTTGCTCTTTAAAAGAGCTCAAATATGAAGGGATGTCTACAAAACAACATAGGAAATAAAAACTTGTAAAATCATACTGAAGCTCTTGCTATTTTTCCAGAGGTTTCTAAAAATAAAGATGGTCACCCAACATCCAGTTTTTATTTTGTGTCTGCAGGTTGCTCTGGTGGGACAAGAACCTGTGCTGTTTGCGCGAACAGTTAAAGAGAACATCGCCTACGGACTGAGTGACGTCTCTATGGAGGCTGTGGTGCAGGCTGCCACCAAAGCTAATGCTCATGATTTTATAAGCGCCCTCCCCAGAGGATATGACACAAGTAATTACCAAGTCCATTCATTGGTTAGTTTTGTCCATGTGGTAGCATAAACTATGTGAATCCACAGAAGCATGAGCAGCTGTGGGCACTGAGAACTTTTATTAACGTACAAAGTTTAGTGTTGGGTACCCTTGATGGTGATAAAGCTACAAATAGATGATGTTTTGAAGCTGAATTAGTCCCTCTTTATGATTTTTCTTGAGGTGTTGGAGAGAAGGGCACACAGCTGTCTGGAGGACAGAAACAACGGGTGGCCATCGCCAGAGCTCTCATCCGTAACCCACGTGTTCTGGTCCTGGACGAGGCCACCAGCGCTCTGGATGCTGAAAGTGAACACATTGTAAGTGTATCCGCTAAATCCACATTATAGCTACAGTTTGTGTAAAGTTTAATGCATTAAAACAGTTTTATTGTAAATACTACATTTGTGGAAATCCTGCTCTGCAGGTTCAGCAGGCTTTGAACAACATCATGCAGGAGCACACGGTGATGGTGATCGCCCACCGACTCAGCACCGTGGAGAAGGCTGACAACATCGTTGTGATCGATGGAGGCCTTGTGGCTGAACAGGGGTCTCATGATGAGCTGATGGCGAGCGGCGGACTTTACTGTAAGCTGGTGCAGAGGCAGGTCCTGGGCAACGAGAGCAGGGCGGAGGTCCTCAACCCAGCAGAGAACATCAGGTGGAAGTCGAGTAGCGGACAGCTGCGGAAAAGAGTAAATAGCAACAGCAGTGGCAGCGAGTCGGACTACAATATGCGCTACTGAAGCTGCTGTGTGTCAGGATTTCTAAGTGCAATAAGAGGTAATGGTTCACACTAGTGAATTATCGGGCATGTCCAATTACATGGGTTTGGGTGAATTTACCCCAGAAACGGCTTAATGTGATGCTACATATCAAAACTTATTTGTGCTATCAGCTTTAAAAATAGATAATATACAACTGTTGATGTCCTGGGCCTACACGATGGTGTAGTAGCACTTTTGCCTCACAGCAAGACGGCTGCAGGCTTGATGCCTCGCTCTGACTTTTCTGCATCGTATTTACACATTCTTCTGTGCATGTGTAGCTTTTCTCTGGGTACTCCAGTTTCCCACAGGCCAAAAAGATGCATGTTAGGTTTGTGTGGATAGTTTTTTGTCTGTGTGTGTCCCTGTGATAGACCAGGGACTTGTCCAAGTGTGCTCCCTGTAGCCCTGTACAGGAATGAGTGGGTTGCCACTCACCACACTCCAGCTAGACCCATTTGTTGTTCTACTGACTTAACTCAGGATCCACTTTGCTTCTGAACTGGCTATGGAGAGAGTTTGTAAACGGCCTAAGCACTGTCAGAAGAGGAGACGGTTGATGTTTCAGCTGATAGTTCTGTTTGATGGAACAAGTAAAGTTTGTTTCAAATACTGTGGATGAAAACATATGCCTTCAGTAGAAATAAATAATTTATTCCTTATGAAAGCACATGAGTTAAAACAATACAATGTGATACTTGGACTATGCAGTTTCCAACGTTAAAGAATAGAGTTCTTACAAGAGAATGTAATCCTTAAAATGCTTGAATTTAATGTGATATTTTGAAGGTTTTAAAGTTGCTTATTCTTGAAACTGAAGCTGATTTAAGCAGAATAAAATTATTTTTACAGCACAAGGAAATTAAACAATCATTAAGCATATATGTATTGTTTGTGTGTGTAATATGACCCAGTTACTGAAAAATGTGTTGGAACCCTGAGAGAGACCTTCCCAGTCATGAAAAACAGGCCTTATTTTTGACTGTTTTATCCATATCATCATGTTATGATGTCTTAAATGGTATAGTAGTTCTATGGTCTATACCTGGGGTTCTCAATCCTGTTCCGGCAGGGCCGGTATCCATGATTTAGTTGTTTCCCCACTTTAACACACCTAATTTTAATTAGTAGATGATTGGAGCGGAGAAACAACGAAAACATACTGGCTGGACCAGGACTGAGAACCTAACCAAACATGTTTATGAAGTTGGTTGCACTAAATCCCTCTCACATAAAGCCATCTCAGCAATTTTATTCTTGGCAGTTTCAGTATCTTTCAGAATGAGCCAGTTCAGGCTCTTTCACTACAAAGGACCTATATCATGCAAACAAAAAAACAACCAAAACACTTTTGGGGCATTTGACCAAGTTTTATTGTTATTTCCTCATGAAAAAACAACCTCGAAGCGATTTTTGGCTTCACACATACATTTTCCTGTCTCAGCTGCAAATCTTCTGATCTGCCTAGTGGATCCATCCAGTTAGTCTCAAATCTGAATTCTTCCTCACCAGGGGCCTCATTTATCAAGCTTGCTTACGCACAAAACTGGGTTGGAAAGCTGCGTAAGCAACTTTCCATGCAAACTTTGGGATTTATGAAAGAACTTAGCAGGAAAATGTGCGCAACTTTAAGTTGACTAAGGACCTGGCTTACACACATGTTGGACATGGAGAGCACCTGCAGTGCTGCTGCTGAGAAGGATAACATTATGAAATCCTGCAGCATTATCACTTGTACTGCTTCGTTTTCACACAGAACAAGACCCCCCCCCACACACACACACACACACACTCAGCCTGAAGCGCAGAATACGGAATGCAGAACATCAGCAGGGGGACAGATTGAGACAGAATGCCATGCGTCTGTGACAGTGTGTGTGTCCTGTCACTGTGACCTGATTGATCATGCGCCCTGGCTATTTAGACAAGGGAGATCTCCATTTGGCTAACTGGTTAGCGCGCGTGACTTTCACCTGGGAGTCTGGGGATTGAATCCCGATTTAACCATTTTTTTTTATATCCACCACAGATCTCTCTGAAGAATTCACAACATTGACGGCTTCAGCAACGCTGTGCCACTCCGTGGATTTTCATTATTTGTTTTGCAAAAGCACTTCCTTTCATTTTTCTACCTCACCCACAGGTACCTCAACTTCTGCTTGTGAAATAGCGCTTCCTTGATCTGCCTTGATCTACGGTCGCCATCGTCACTGACGGAGCGCTGCAACAAGCTGGCTTATGTTTATGCATGAGATCCACAAGGCACTTTGCATTGACTATTTATGGCAGTAAGTGGGCGTGGTGAGGGCAGGATGGGACTAAAAAGCAGCTGAGAACAATTCTAAATAGTTTCTGATTTATGAAGTGGAGATTGCGTGCAGCTGTGCGTACTCCATGTTTGATAGATCACAAACCTTGGCGTAAGTACATTTTTTTGGTTGAGCTTAAGTACGGTTTTAGTAACGATTCTACGCAATGTTTGATAAATGAGACCCCTGGACTGTAAACACTAACACCCAGTCTCTCAGAGCAGCTAGCAGGGAGTTCATTCTCCACAGATGTGAAAAAACTATCTTTTTTATTTAATCTGCACTTTAAATCATGCCTAGAACCTGAAATTGTATTTTTGTCTGTGAGAGATACAGAATCCCTGTTTAGTCTTATTTAAAAGAGTTTCCGTAGAAATGGTTGTAGCGAGCCAGAAAGTGATTGTGATTTCAGACTGCTTGTTAAATTCCGCCATTGGGTGAGTTTTCAGATGGATTACTTCTTCAAACCGGTGCCATTCTAGGCCAGGGTGGTTAACAACCAAAATACTGAGATGTGAGTTATGAATGTTTTGTCCCCGTGATGGACTGGAGACCTGCAGGGTGTCTTCCGCATCTCCCTCACTGCTCGAGCCAGCTCCCTGACCTAATGAGGAAACGCATTTCAGGAAGTGAATGTGTGAGTAACCTACTAGGGCCCAATCTCAATGCTCCTGACGGGCCCATCACTGCGGTCTTCAGCAAAGTGCATTTGGACAAAGTGCGCAGAAGGGTTTGAGTGCGTAATACACAAGTGAGCATTGCGTCATCGATCGCAACGCATGCCGGGATGCTGGTCGCTGTGAAACTTTTTTCAAAAACCTTTAGTAACAACTTTCAAACAAACAACAAAGCTACTTTTTAAATAAATTTAACTTCATTGCTGCTTTGTCTAAAACAGGGGTGTCAAACTCAAATTCACACGGGGCCGAAATGAAACTCTGGGACGAAGTCGCGGGCCAATATTCATATTTTTTGAAAAAGTGATGGCAAATTTGCACATTTTCTTTATCAACATATATGCAATTTTGAACCTTTAAATTTGGAAACAAACATTTCTGCATTAACACTGAATGTGGAATAACCAAATTACACACGAGCAAGTCTGTTTTAAATAAAAGGCATCAGTGGTATTCATTACTTGTGGTATAATCAGCATTTTTAAAATCTATTCAGGATTAATGTTTTCTTGTTTATTCATTTTTCTTATTTTTATTCTCCTTTTTTTCTCCTGTAATACGTGTCATCGCTGCTGTGACGTCTAGCTTTCCCCACTGAGGAACAATAAAGGGATTTTCTATTCTATTCATCTATCTGCAGCCTTTCCACTTCCTGTTTACTGTAGGTTAAATCTTTTCTCACGGGCCAACAACAAAACAAAAATATAATTTTATCTTAAATGAAAATGCAACATCTCACCTGTTAACTTTCATGTTTTGGAGCAGAAAAAGAGCATAAAACCAACATATTTAAAGCTCAGTTTGCTCCACTGGTTTACTGTGATGCTCACCTGTTCCAGCCAGATACCTGCATCATGGGGTTGATCTGAGCTGAGGAGGAGACTCCTGTTGTTTTGTTCATCTTCATCATAATAATGACAACATTAGATGACAACAGGTGCTCACATAGGTTTGTGCTGCTGAACATGTCTGAGCAGCTTGACCACGTTGTTGTGTGTCGGGGAGGAAACACAACCACAGCAGCCACAGAGTCGAGCTGGTTTGAGTGTGTCGCTGCTCGCTGGAGTTATATCGGCTCGTCTAGACGTTAGTTGGAAAACTTTCTCTTTCAGTCGTGAACACATTACTGAGCGGCTAGAATCTCAGTTTCTGGGCTTCAACGTCAGAAAATAGCTGAGTGAACTCGGCGCTGAGTGAAAGGAGTGTTTAATTTGTCCGAGACAGCAGAGCTGCAGACACCGGCAGCAGACGCCGGAAAAAACACAGCGGAGGGGGCGCTTCGGCTTCGCGCTAACACCGCAAAGCATCATGGGAGTTGTAGTCTTTAGGGTAAAATCAGCCAGTGGGTCAGTTTTAATATATTTTTGACATTTATCTCGCGGGCCACATAAAAATGCTCCACGGGCCGCATCTGGCCCGCGGGCCTTGTGTCTGACACATGTGGTCTAAAACATTCAGAGCACCAACTAATCGTCCTAAAATGAACTAATTTCATTAGAAAATACATATTTTCAGAAAAGGAACTTGAGCCTTTTTGCCCGCAGCAATGACTTGTGGGTAATTCCCTTCCCCGAGGTCTTGGGTGAAGTGCAGATTAAAGTCCATCTTTTAAGTAGTTTTAAAATCAAAAACATCTATCACATGAAATTCTATTTTTCTAGAGGCTGACCATCTTTGCTACCTTTTTTTTTTTTTTTTTTTGCTTTTTCCCTTTTACAGCATGAGCAAGATGGCGAATGCTAGAAAATCAGCTAAGGCCCAAAAGGTAACAGACCGCGACTATGACCTGACGGCCCTGCAAGAAGCATGTGAAGAAGAAGAAATTGAAGAAATAGAAGCAATGGAGGAAGAAAATAGGAACTTGCTTCATATTCACCCACCACTCCCCAGCCTAAACCTCAAAAAACTGAAACAAAAGAAGCAAGTTGAGTTGAGCAAGCCAAGTGAGATTACCAACCAAGCCCCCACAATGGGGGTGAAAAATTGAGGCCAACGCAGAAGTGACAAAAATTGCAGTTCCACCCTCATCCGCTCGGGGCTGGTGTCAGAAGCGAGCAAATCCTCATTGACTCCCATGTTAAAAATACCAATTTCACAGCAGAAATAAACATGTTTTTTGTTTAAATGATCTAGTTTACACTCATGACAACTCTGAGGGGGGTGAATTTTTTCTCACTCTTCTGTTTAAGTGTGTTGGGGTAATTAGGAGTGAATAATTAGTAAGCTTCTACTTACTTTTGGATTCTTCAGTAAATTCTGTAAATATGGGAATATTTACATGAGTTATTAATTAATTAAGATACAATTAAGCATCTACGGGGCACCATCCCCTTTAACCAGGGAAAAATTGAATCCAAACTCTTATCAGTCTATCTGAAATGTGGAAAAGTTCTAGGAGCAGAGATTTTACATCGACACAAAGAAATCTATGGAGACAAATCTGAATTTTATAACAATTAAACAAGGAGATTAATAATACAAAACAATTTGATATAATTGGAGATGTGTGCGTGTGTGTGTGTGTGTGAATGATGTCCCCACAAACACTAGAAACACGCATGAGTGTGTGTGTGAGTGGGCGTGTGTGTGTGAAATGGAGGATGTATGAATGGGTGCTTTGTTTTCCCGGAGCAGGTGTGCAGGGAGTGTGTCCTTGAGCTGTGTGTGTGTATGAGCTGTCTGTCTCCAGCTCTAATACAAAGGAAAAGTTTTTTAGCTTAAACTCAGTTTGACAGTAACTTAAACACTTCAGAAAGATTGATAAACAACAAAGGTCACTCGTAAATTAACATCTGACAGTTTAAACAGCCTGGCCACAGCTGGAAACTATTTAAAGATAGTAACGATGACAAATAAACAGTTTACCCTTTACCAAATAACCCGGCGAGCGGATTTTGATACGGAAAAGAGAAAAACCGTCTGATAATTTGAAGCAATGCGCGGTGTAATTGCTTATTGTGAACTATAAGAAACGGAAAAGATAAGAGAGGAGGAGAGGAGATAAAATAAAATCAAACTTTTGCGTGAGCGAACCAAAAGGCGTCCCTTTTCCTTCGCGTTGCAGGTCAGATGATTTCTCCGTTGTTTCTCCAACTGGCTGGACACAAAGAGCAAAGTTTCTTTTTGTGCTGAGTTTGTAACTTACAGCGTCTCCGGCTGATTGATGGAGCTGGAGTTGCTTTCCAGAGGTTCTGTGTGTTCGCACATCAGCTGGAGTTGAGCAAAAGAGAGCAGATTTTGGGTTTCCAAACCCAGCTTTTTCAGCAGTTCGGTGTCTGATCCGCTCACGTTGATCGGAGCGTGCAATGAGCGTCCTTTACAGCCAGCTAACTGGGCATAAGAACAAATAAGTTTCGTTTTTCTCTCCTTTTACAGAGACGCTGGAGCTGTTGTTGTGGTTCTGCGCATGTACAGAACCCCTCCGCCTTGGCGGTGATGTCATCACATTTCTTCCGTGTACAGAGCATCATGGGAAATGAAGTGTCTCTGGCGCTGATGTTATTTGCTTTTTAAGAGCATATTTAGCACAGTCTTTTGGAGAAAATTACCGCAGCAATTTCTCACGAGGGCATACCCTCAACAAGTTATTAAGAGCCTAAAATTCTGTATAATTAATGAGCATCAGACCAATGTGACCACAGAGCTAGCTCCGTGGAAAGGCCTCGGCCTCGCCTGAAAACTGTTCGGTCATTTTCAGTCTCTCAGCTTAGACCATTAGTTGTAGCGTTTGTGTATTCTTTTTTAGATATTATTTGTGCAATTGTTGGACAAAATGACTTGCTGTGGCATTAATTGCACTAATAGAGCGTCCAAGGAGTCTCCACTTAATTTTTTTTCGGTAAGTAAAATTATATTTATGTATTTTAGGTCACTTCCGAGCTGAGCTTAGATTTTAACATGTACTGTTTAACCATGAAATTTAAATTTAATAGGGTAAACCCCAGTGTATTTAACATAATGCTGCACTTTAGAAAATGGGTTGAAATATAACATGTTGGTTGTCAGGTTCGATGGGCTGAGCTGGAGTGGTTATGAGACCCAGGCGCGGAGAGAATGGTGGATGGAGACTGATATGTGGCAGCGTGGGAAGTTCTCTTCCCGTATGGTTCGTAGAGTTAGTGTCTTAGGTCTTAGAATGGCTTGGCGTCTATCGTTAGATGATGACTGAGTGCCGGCTCCGCTGTGACAGGTCCTTAAATAGGCTCAGCGGGATGACGTCACCGGGAAGCGTCGGTGACAGGCATGCTGGGAACTGGAGTGCAGCGCCAGCCCGGCCCGCAGAGGAGGTTAAGAGGAGGAGTTCATGACAGGACCCCCCCCGCGAGGGACGGCTCCAGAAGGCCCAGGGCGACGAGACCAGAAATCAGCCAACAGGGAAGGATCCAGAAACGAGCGGGCAGGCTCCCAGCTACGCTCCTCCGGACCGTAACCCTGCCAGTCCACCAAATACTGCCATCCACGGCCCCGGCGGCGGGCGTCCAGAATCTTGCGGACGGTGTAGACGGGGTCCCCATCGACATCTCGGGGCGTCGGCACCCGGGCCGGAGGCGGATGGAGAGGAGAAGACACCACCGGCTTGAGCTGTGAGACGTGGAATACCGGGTGCACCTTAAGAGTGGAAGGGAGGCGCAGCCGGTAAGCGACCGGACCGAGGACATCTCGGACTGGGAAGGGCCCCAAAAAGCGAGGCGACAGCTTCCTGGAACCAGCCGGAAACCGGAGGTTTGCGGTAGAGAGCCAAACCCGGTCACCAGGCTGGAACACAGGGCCGGGCCGGTGACGGCGGCGGTGTTGTCGGGAGTACTCCGTATTAGCCCGGGTGATGGCGGCGCGAGCCCTGATCCAAGCGAGACGGCAGCGGCGGACCATATCCTGAGCCGCCGGAACCTCCACCTCCGGCACCTGATGGTCGAAAAGAGGGGGCTGGTATCCGTAGCAGGTCTCGAAGGGCGATAGACCCGTGGCGGAGGACGTCTGGAGGTTGTGAGAGAGCTCCGCCCATAGGATGTAACGAGGCAGGGTGGACGGTTGAGACGAGGCGAAGCAGCGTAAGTAACGCCCAAGCTGCTGGTTTGCTCTCTCCGTCTGACCATTAGTCTGGGGATGATAGCCTGACGACAGACTGGCGGAAGCGCCCACCAACCGACAGAAAGCCTTCCAGAAACGTGAGATGAACTGAGGCCCTCTGTCAGACACCACGTCCTGGGGGAATCCGTGGAGCCTCACCACATGATCGAGGAGGAGCTCCGCCGTTTTCTTAGCCGTGGGGAGCCCTGCCATAGCCACTAAGTGCACAGCCTTCGAAAAGCGGTCGGTGATGGTGAGGATGGTGTCCAGGTGGTCGGCAGCGGGAAGCCCCGTGACAAAGTCCACACCTATGTGCGACCACGGCCTTTTAGGCACAGGGAGCGGTTGCAATTCCCCGGCTCCAGATTGGGTGGTGGACTTAGACCGGGCGCAAGTGTCACATGCAGCGGTGTATTCACGCACGTCCTTTCTCATAGAGGGCCACCACAGGGCCCGGCGGAGGAACTGGAAGGTACGAGCCTGGCCTTGGTGTCCCGCGAGCCGTGAACTATGCCCCCACCTCAAGGCCTCCTGTCGACACACGGCCGGAACGTAAAGGCGGTTAGGAGGCGTCTCTGGGGGCGCCGGGTCCGCCGGGAGAGCCGCCCGGATGGAGGCTTCCAGGGGCCATTGCAGGGCGGCCAAGAACCGTTCGGTCGGGAGGATGGACCTCGGTTCAGGAGGCCTTGGATCCTGGGTGTGTTGACGGGACAGGGCGTCCGCCTTGAGGTTCTTTGAGCCGGGGCGGTAGGCGATGTGAAAGTTATAAGGTTCGAAAAAGAGGGCCCACCGGGCCTGACGAGGGTTGAGTTGGCAAGCGGTCTGAATATGGATGAGGTTCTGATGATCAGTCCAGATTAGAAAAGGAGTGGGGGTCCCCAGGAGCCACTGTCGCCACTCCTCCAGGGCCCACTTTATCGCCAACAATTCCCAGTCCCCGACCCCATAGTTCTGCTGGGTAGGAGAGAACTTCCGGGAAAAGAATGCGCAGGGATGGAGTTTGGAGTCCTGGCCACGTTGTGACAGTACGGCTCCCGCGCCCGTCTCAGAGGCGTCCACCTCCACAACGAAAGGCCGTGTTAGGTCCGGGTGGAGGAGGATGGGCTCGCTTACAAAGCGGCGGACCAGCTCATGGAAGGCAGCAACGGCCTCCGGGGAGAGGCGGAAAGGGCGAGGCTGATTTGTTGTTTTCGTCAGGGAAGTTAATGGTGACGCCAGGGCGCTGAAGTTGCGGATAAACCGGCGGTAGAAGTTGCAGAACCCCAGGAAACTCTGCAACTGCTTCAGGGTCTTGGGTAGTGGCCACTGCGCGACCGCCTGAACCTTCTGTGGGTCCATGCGCAGGCCCTGGGAGGAGATGATGAATCCCAGAAACGAGGTGGACTCCTGGTGAAAGGCACACTTCTCCAGTTTACAGAATAAGTCGTGCTCCAGGAGGCGTGACAGAACGGCTCGAACATGCTGGGTGTGTTCCTCGGCCGTGCGGGAGTAGATGAGGATGTCGTCCAAATAAACAAAAACCCAACGACCCAGCATGTCACGGAGGACATCAGTGATGAAACGCTGGAAAACGGCA